ATTTTTTTAGACGAAGTTTCTCCTGTTTTTGAAAGAATGCTAAAAAAATGTCAAAAACAGGTTTTGCTGAATTTTAAATGCTGGAAACATAAATGAAATGCCTAAATATATTGGTACAGATTTTGATATTATGGATCGAGGAAAAATAGCAAGCCTTCTTTTTCTGAAATTGGTCACATAGCTTTTCTGGAAAGTAGCATTGAATCCAATTATTACAAAAAAATAATATTGAAAGGTAAATGTTAAATTTCGCCAGACTACACTAGCGTGTATTTTGGCAGTGTTACTTGTGCAATATCTGTATAATGCAGTGTGGAGGTACGCATGCAGCTATCTGGTACTGATGTAAAGGTATATGCAGTATTTAAGGAAACATGGACTCTAATTCCTTCATTCATAAAACCATTTACACATTGTGTTATGTTAAAAGTTTTTGTTTTCAAATAAGAAATCCCAGACATGTATTTTGCACAAGGAGCTCAGATTTAAGAAGTGCTTTGTGCCAAAAATCTCATATCTAATTTTTACAGTGCTTTACTATCAGAATTTATATTGTTTATAGTATCTCTTAAAAGCAGTTTTCCTTCCTGGACAGGGTAGATAAAAGAAGACTATAGTTGTTTCAATGCTAGAGCATCTCCCAGGTGAGACAGTTGCTTATCTTTTTCATCTGTCCACCCATAAGCATGTTAAGCCTACGTTGGCCACTCCTTGAGGTTCACAGCACATGTGCAGCTATTCCTTCAGTCCTGGGAAGTGCAGTGGTGCATTTAGTACCTTTTGCTGCTGAATGAAAATGCAGTTTTGAACTTTTTGGATCATGCTAACAATTTTTTTAAATGCACAAGAGATAATCTTTTGTCTTAATCCACATTATTGATTTTGTAATGCCCTGCAACTCTAAAACATCTTTTTGTCTATACATTTTTGTATGGTATTTTAAGATTAAGATTATCCCTTAACAATTTCTATAACCTTCGGTTTTTATAGCACTTCCTCAAGAGCTCTGTCAGCACCAAATACAGAATGCTTTAAGAAATGATTTTAATATGTAATCACATAGCAGAGCATAAATTTTGTGACTTGGGATAGTAGCTTTCCAACTAAGATAATTGCATGAACCCTGTTAATAAGTGATACCATTCATCAATGACTTTTTTTTTTACCCCTTGGAATATACCTGGTTTTTACAGGATTTCAAAATATGTAAAAATAATTTTTCTTGAAGTATGTGTCATAGTCATTTTTCATTATTTGTACTACTTTCATCCCCCCATCCAGATTAATATTGAGGGCAGAACAGAATTTTCTGGGACATGTTTTGTGAAGTGGTCAAGAGCTGAATGTTTTCTTTTGATAATATTGAAATAATTGGGCATTATCTATTTCAAAGTAATATAAAATGTTTATTTTTATATCACCAGTTGTCACCACTCCCATTGCTGGCAGTGGGATAGTTGCTGGGCACACAGCTCAGTTCCTAAGAATATACCTGCTAGTCGTTCATCTTCTCTACACTCTTGAAATACAGGCTCTTTAATTTTTGCACAAAATATATTTTGCAACAAATTGTCTGAATAGTCTTTAGTAGCAGAATAAAATCATTTTGTGTAATGATGTTGTAGTTCTGTTTCATATTAGTTCGATGTGGGTTAAAGTTTGTTACTTCACTATATAAAAAATGTAATCTCTGCTGATGGTTGCAGTTCCAGATATTTGTGATATGATTTTATGTACTTTTGTCCTTTTTTCTTTTACGTGATCTTTGTTACACATGTGAATTTTTAATTTGCACTCCTGTATTTTAATCCTAACCATAATTAGTCATTTTAAATAATTAAGTAGACCTGGAAATCAGTCATAAGTGGTATGTTAAATACTTTCTCAACTAATCCTAAAATCTTCAAAATTGACAGTTTTTCTTCCCTTGCAACCCTTAACTTTTAAATAAGTTTATTATTAATTTCTAATGATCATGCATGGATGCTAAAGAAAAACAGTATAAGATTCCAGGCTGTTGTGTGTCTGTGCTGTAAGGCACTTTTCCACATTATGGCCAGTCATGAGCAGACAGCCAGAGCTGCAGGACGGCTGCCGTTTCCCAGAGTTCCTCAGGTTTCTGTTCCTTTCAGTCCATCTGCCTAGTTAAATAGTATGCAGACCAGCCCACATAGGCAATAGAGTTAAGTAAAACCAGGCTAAATGCTTTCCTTTTTATCTGTCCAAAGTTGAGAGCACCATATACTTTTTCAAAATAAAGTAAAACTACTACTACCAAAAAGAGGATGAAGACCGTTGCTTATTGTGGAACGAAGTTAGAGGATTGTTTCAGAAGTTTGCAAGGCAGTGCTGAGAAACACCTCTCTCCTTCACATGTACTCCATGGTGCCTCTGGCTTTTAGGGATCTTCTCTGAAGATCTTAGAGCGGGGAATTGGCTTTAGCACCTAGTGTCCCAACTTAAACTACTTTAATATAAAATGTTAATTGTTGGCATCCTCTTCAAAACCTTTCAAGTAGTTACTGGTAACTTGCTGAAGTGCCACTCTCACTATACCATTAGGGCTTCTGTTCTCTGATAACAAATGGCCTGCTGGGGTGAAAGTGAGTCCCACCCACACTGCATTCATCCAATGAACAGGTAGATTCATTCAGTTTTAACTATTAGTTACGAATATCATGTGTACTATTGTCACTATTCAGATTTTTACCCTAAAACATATAAGCCTTTCATACAAGTGAATTTATTTGCTAGCAGAAAAAAGGACTCTGAAATATCCAATCACCAAACTCCCAGGTAACTGGATGATTTGACTGTAAAAACCTCTGTCAGGCAGTGCTTCTTTCCTTCTCTCTCTGGAAATATCTATAGTGGGATGTTGGTAAATGGTCTTTGAAAAAAAAATTAAAACTTTGGATTAAATGGAAAAGTGAACTATATTTTTGGTAGTACTAAACAATGCTTTTGTAAATTTGAATGGAAAACTACTTGTATGTATTGCTATTGGGTTGCAGTTATGAGCTTAAAATATACTACTAAATAAAAATTTCATGAAAGATGAATTCCAGTAATCAAAAAATAAATGCATTTCAACTACAATTTTGTGTGGTATGTGTGCTGTATATCACCAGTGTGGAATCAAACAGTAAAAAGTGAAATGTGACTTCTTTAAAAATCAGAATGACCTAAAGTATTTAATATTTCAGATATTCTGCAAGTATTTAGCATACTCATTTTTTTATTGCAGATATTTAGTGTAATTTATTAGCATTAGGGTTTAAATAATACTGTCTTGGAAGCTAAATTTTTTCCTTAACTCTATAAGTAGCAGTCTGTTCTAAAGAAGTTATTTTGTCTTTTCTTTTTCCCCTTCCTCCACCCAAATACTACATTTACTTTGTCCTGTGGTACAAAAACAACTATAAAGTTCCAATTACTTAACAAGTGCTTTCTGTGTTAACACCATACTAAGCACTTTGTATTCTGTATCTCTGTATTTAAAGTTCTTAACTTCCAGGAGCATTATCACCCCAATTTTACAGTGGGGGGTGGGCAGGGATATACATGCTTGAGGCCGTCTGTGGGGTTGGGAGTTCATGTCAGGTCTTCCTCCTTCAAATATTAACACCTTGGGTTTTGTCCCAGAGCTTGTATGGTTGCACCCAGACATGTATGTATAAAACTGGATCCAAATGTTAGGTCATTTTTTCCAATGCCAGGTTTTCAATCTTTTCTGACACCTTTTGTCAAATTTCTGCACAATTTCACCTGTTTTAGTTACTCCTGGAATATTGCGTATTAAAAGCTGGTCTAGATATTAGTCCTCACCAAACAGATGTGAGTGAATGTCACAGTGATTTGAATGCCCACTATAGGCAAGGGAAGCAGCATGTGTGCTATGATACTAGGTGGTTTGAGGTGGATAATGCATTGTGCTTCCTTGCTGTCTGCGTGGCTACACATGAGGAGTTCCACCATACTGCTCTGCTTGTTGCCTTTTCTCTTTTCCGAAATTCTCAGCTCTTTTGCTTTCATTTCTGTCTCTGAAGAATTATAAAATCTAACTTTCAAAAATAATATTATCACATATATACACTCCAAATGTATCAGCATTTTATCACCATCAGTCATTTGAAAAGGACAAAGCATGGATGTTTCCTGGTTACAAATCACTGCATATAATCAGATCCTTACTCTGCTACTTACAGTGGTTGTTAAATTCTTTCATGCTTTCTGATTCTAAAATGTTGAAGCAGGGTTCTCTGATCAGTTGATCACCTCTTTACAGTGAATTTTAAGCATTTGGAATCAGAGTGCTAAGACTGAGCTCCATCAATAGGAAGGACCACATCTACACTCATTGTGTCCGCCTGCGTAATAATACCTCACTTGGCTGTTTTATTAAGGCGGGGACGACATTGGTGTACAACAGTGTGAATGGTGCCCCCTAGAGGATGCAATCTGGTACTGGAAGGGAAACAGCTGGGGGACACCAGATAACGTTCATTACCATTGGCTCTTCCCATCCCTCGGAAAAGCTTGGGATTTTTTTAAATTTTTTTATTTCAAGGGTTCCTACATTAAGATACCAGGAGGTCAATTCTATATTTGTCAGATTTTTGATAGGCATCATTTTCACTCTATCCTCAGTTGAAGAACACAGAGTACCCTTCTGTCACCAACTCTGCAGGCCCTGCTAGCTGTGCACTAGAAGAGCCAGGGTGGGGATGGGAACACTGCTGGGAAGCAGTGTTCATGAGGGGGAGCAGAAGGGGTCCTAAAACTACGTCACATTCTAGAAGTGGTATACAACTCAGATAAGGCTGTCAGTACATTTATCAACATTAAACGTATCCAAACCTATTATCTCTTATATACAGATGACAGCCTAAATGGAGATAAAAATGTGACTCTTGGGAGTTTCATCACTTGAAAATAAATTACACTTCCATCCTTATAATAAATAAAAATGTTAAGAATTGATACATTGCGGTCCTCACCCCTTGAATGTGGCTCAAGCTGGAGGTACAGAGGGCTGAGGTGCTGCAGACCAGGGACTGAAGCAGCTTGTAGATGGCAGATCACAGCTCTTCAAGTCTGTGATAAGGAATGGCCTCCAATAAAACTCCACTGCAGAAAACGGGAAATAAACATAACACGTAGAAAGGTTGAGGAGGCAGAGCCAGAATATTCTGTGGTATAACAAGTCCTGCACTGACGTGGAGGGAATGGGGAGGTGGAGTATTTCTCTGAGTAGAAGGGATTTACAGATACTGACAGCTTTTGAGAACTTGAGAAAAATTGCTGCTTAGTTTTCAAAAACCAGATAACTAAAAAGATGGCACAAAAAGAAATTCTTTATCTGACAGTGAACCTGAAAATAGCAAATTTGAGTCTGCTGACAAAGCAAGAGGCTTTGCCACAGTCACCAATGTGAATTAATGTTTCCCATGAAATGGAAGTATTTAAATGAGGATTTAAATGCCAGACAGGGCTGGCAATCAAAACAACCATGAATGTCCTCAGATTGTAATTGCTTTCTATGAAGAGAGACTAATTTGCATTTTTGTCCAGAAAATGAAGCTCCATATTGTTTGCACTGAGAGATATTATATACAGATGACAGCCTAAATGGAGATAAAAATGTGACTCTTGGGAGTTTCATCACTTGAAAATAAATTACACTTCCATCCTTATAATAAATAAAAATGTTAAGAATTGATACATTGCGGTCCTCACCCCTTGAATGTGGCTCAAGCTGGAGGTACAGAGGGCTGAGGTGCTGCAGACCAGGGACTGAAGCAGCTTGTAGATGGCAGATCACAGCTCTTCAAGTCTGTGATAAGGAATGGCCTCCAATAAAACTCCACTGCAGAAAACGGGAAATAAACATAACACGTAGAAAGGTTGAGGAGGCAGAGCCAGAATATTCTGTGGTATAACAAGTCCTGCACTGACGTGGAGGGAATGGGGAGGTGGAGTATTTCTCTGAGTAGAAGGGATTTACAGATACTGACAGCTTTTGAGAACTTGAGAAAAATTGCTGCTTAGTTTTCAAAAACCAGATAACTAAAAAGATGGCACAAAAAGAAATTCTTTATCTGACAGTGAACCTGAAAATAGCAAATTTGAGTCTGCTGACAAAGCAAGAGGCTTTGCCACAGTCACCAATGTGAATTAATGTTTCCCATGAAATGGAAATATTTAAATGAGGATTTAAATGCCAGACAGGGCTGGCAATCAAAACAACCATGAATGTCCTCAGATTGTAATTGCTTTCTATGAAGAGAGACTAATTTGCATTTTTGTCCAGAAAATGAAGCTCCATATTGTTTGCACTGAGAGATATAAATATATAGAACCAGTCTGGATCTTGACTTTTTCCTGTGTGAAATAATACCTACATTCTAATGAAAATTGAGTTGCTGTATTCATTTTGAAGTAGTATTTGGGGAAGTTAAAGTTGTACATTAATAGCACTTGTCACCTTGAGCTAATAAAAGTGTTCTACAGTTACCTCATTTATCACAGAAAAAAGAAAAACTCATATATTGGTCAACCTTATCGGTAAATAGAATGTAAACTCATTTAAGATGTTTTAAATCTAATAATAAGAGAAAAAAATAATGCTCAATGCTGGAAAGCTTTCAGTGAAAGCTACATTTTAATTATTGAAGACAGTATAAATTGACATAACTCTTACACAAAAAATTTGGAAATATGTCAGACCATAAAGTATATATACCCTTTGATGCAGTAAATCCCACTGCTGGGAATCTTAATAAAGAAAATCAAAAACAAAAGAAAAAAGAAAAAAGCTGTATGTACATAAATATGTTGCAGGAATAAGCAACAAGTTGGAAACAATCTAGAGGCCCAATAAGGGGAACAGGTAAGTAACCTGGTCAACTACACAGAAGAGAAGTTTTTAAGTTGACAATTAAGCAGACTTTATGGCAGAATTTAATTTTTCTTTTCAAAGGCAAGTTACAACACCCTTATTTCTGTAATGATTAAAAATTTACAGAAATATTGCACTTGAAAAAGATGAAGAAGATGAAGTGGGTATATAGTTGTTCAGTGGCAAAATTGGAGGTGAATTCCTTCACATTTTATGTTTTCACATATATCAAGAAATACATTCATATTATTAGATGCACAAGTCTTTACATTCAGAATAATTTCATAAAGATATCTAAAAAAATTGTACGAAAGAGAAGACACAGGGAAAGGTTCTTATTTTGTGACTCCTTTTATCCCTATAAACACACTGTGTGGTTAACAGAATGTGTAGTGTGCATCATGCTTAAGAATTTCTTGTCACCCAAATGCCCCACATAACCACATTTCCATGCCAAAACCCAGAAGAGAATGGTGATTCTCTTGCCTCTAGCTGAGCACTTACTTTCTCATACAAAGTATTCATCCACAGAATAGTAAAAAATATGTATTTATATATATATATAAAGGTGCTAGTCAAAACATAAGAATTTATCTAAAAACTTCTAAAAAGATTAAAATATTTCTAGTTTTAATTGAATTATGCACAAAAGTGATGACACTGGAATATTTTCCTCACCTGAAACAACTGTCAGTACCAAATGAGTTGTTATGCCTAACATAAAGAACGAGTTATCCCTTAAAATGGTATTTTATCATTTTTATGTCATTACTTGTAAGTACTTTAGGCTGGAAACCGAAATCTGCTTTCAGCATTTTACTGCAGAGTTTTGGAGCTAGCTCCTTTAGAATGTTCTAACAGCTTGATGGCCTTGTCAGAGTTTTCAATATTTCTAAGTAGAGTCTCTAATCTTCTCTTAATTTTCTTCTGATCTTCAAGAGCACAGCCAATTACTATGGATTGAAACTTCTGGTCAACTGGCCCAGGTGGCACCTCAGATGAACATGCACTGTATAATGACATTAAGTGACTCCTGGCATTTCCCAAATCATCCAGAAACTTACTGACCACCTCATCAATAATCCTGGTGGCATGCTTTAGGGATTCTTGCTGCTGGGGGCTTCTAATTGTTTCTACTGAAACTTCAACGGTGAGGGTTCGTCCCATCAAACGGTTTGCAGTCAGATTTAATTCTTCTCTTTCTCCTAAACATAAAAAGTTTCAGATATCAATCAATATGAGCCGTAAACTGCTCTATGTCAAGGACACTAAGGAATTCACTTACGACTAATTTTATTTTCTTTAAGCACCTCTGTTATGAATTTTTCAAAAGTAAAAGAGAAGAGGCTCTAACAAAGCCTAATTATTCCATTTTGAAACAAGCTAAATGTTCCTTCCAGGTCACCCTTTAACCAGACCTTTCTGAGTTGCAGGAATCTCACCTGAGCGCCTGAAAACTACAGATAAGGAGAAGTTTCACCTGAAGAGCCCTCGAAACTACAGATAAAGACATTTCATTCTAAGGCAGTTTCGAAGCACAACCTCCTAGATGCCAGCAAGTCTGTCCTTGAGCCACTGATTAACTGGCTAGCCCCCTCCTGTCTCCGGGAAGTTTCCCTTTAAAAGGTTCTCACTCTGTTAAGGGCATGTGGGAGTTGGTCTTGGAACACTAGTCCACCATCTTCCTGAACAAAGCAACCTTTTCTTTTCACCAACACGTGTCCCTGGAGTTTGGGCCTTTGCAGTGACAAGCAGCTGAATTTAGGTTTGGAAATGGGCCATGGCCTAGTATGTAAGATTAACTGAAGTGTATCAGATTAGAGAGAGGTGGCAGAACACCTTGCCCTGAAATCTTTTACACAGGGGATGCCTGATGGGCTCTCAGGTTGCCATGTCTGCACAGGTGTGCGCAGGTATGCATGTGACTGGGACGGAGATCAAGTCTTAACACAGAGTGAACAGTGCGGATCACTCGGACTCCGTGCTGGTTAGAATGCAGACATCAGGTGTCCTGGATCTTCATAAAGACCATGTGAGGGGAGCAAAATAATTTTCCCTCTACCTTTCTGAGTTATTGGCTGAGAACCCCTGTAATAAAACACAGATGAACAAGAAAAATAGAGAAGTTTATTACCATGTATACCTCACATATACATGGGAGATTCAGGGAAACTGAGTGACTCCCCTGGGTGGCCTAGGCCACCACCTTGGATACCATCTTTAACTAAAGACGATGTTGGCAGCCGAGTTGTGGGAGGTTACCAGGAAAGCAGATGACGAGGGTTCATAGCTGCCACGCAGATTTAATATAGGTGCCTTCTTGAGTTTCTGGTGATGTACAGAAGAGGAAGACATCCTTACAAATGGAGATTTCCTTTATACATGTAAATGGTTCTCACAAAAGGGTAACTTCTACTGTTTCAGAGTTTCTTAAGTGTCTGCAGTTTCTCAAAAATAATTAGCTCAAAATAGTCCTTATGCCCAAGAGGCATATTTTGGGGTGGCAAATTCTGCATGTGTATCAGAATACAATGCTCCAATTTTGGCTGAGAAAACATAGCCATGATAGTGGAGGAAAAGCTGGCCTTAAAAGCAGTCACTGACTCATCCCTTCCACACAAATCTAAGCAGGCCAATGCTCTAAGTCTTGGCCAGTAAAAAAAGGCAGCGATGGGAAAAGGCACTGTGCCTACATTTCATTATTTATATGGAAAAGTTAGAGATCTCCTGCTAGTCCTGTTCTGTAACTTCCTTCCTAATTCATTGATCTTTGACCAGGATGGTGAAGACAGACTGGATGCTGGCCCCACTGTGGATGGTTATGTTAGGCTGAAGAATAGACATGAGTGGGGTGGGGAGAGAATAAGGCCAGTAAAGCCCATTACAAGGGACTCAAAGAGTTACCCAGATAAAACCAGAGAGCCAGAAGGGACTCAGAGAGTTAAGCAGTTAATTAGTTGAAGTTTCCAAGGCCAGGAGTGACCTGTAATGTCCTGATACTCCCCAGATAAAGAAAAGTATCCGAGCGCGGCCATTGCCTTCATTGCACCAATTAGGCCACGCCATTGTAAAAGTTACTTAGCCTGCAAAAAAGATCCAACTTACTCTTTAACTCAACCTATATGCTGTTTTTACCTCTTCTTCCAGCCCTCTAATCAAGTAACTTGTAACCAGGGCAGGTGACAGACTTCCTCGGAGATAGGATGCTGGGATCCAGACCAGCACAGTCCCCTAAATAACCCTGTTCTTAAGACAGAACTTAAGAGGAATTATGAATCACCTGTGTACTTCATGCCATACCCTCTTACCCAAGAAGCCTATAAAACCCCAGACCCTAAATCCTTAAGCGCACCTCCTAAGGCTGCCTGTGCTCACCTTTCCTGGAGTGTGTCACCCGCTGTTCTACTTCAGGTAAGAAGGGGGGCTGCGGAGAGCTCTGATCTAGGGCCATCGCCTGGGT